AGAGAGGTCAATATGTGAAAAGGTGAAGGTGGCCCAAATACCTAGGCGCCCTAAGGTGTTGGGGGGCAATAGGGGCAGGGGAGCAGGGGCATGTATAGGGGTGTGGTGTGTGTGTGTGCATGCGCGCATGCGCGAGACCTTGAATCAAACACCTAAAAATCATCCTTTTTTTTCTTATCTTATAAAGTGTGAGAGATGTTGACGAAATGGAGATGTGCTTTTGGAGTCTTATGTGATCGTCACATATCAATGAAACTAAAGGGGAAGTTCTATAGGACGGTTGTAAGACCAGTCACGCTTTATAGGACGAATGTTGGGCGGTCAAAAAATAACATATTCATAAAATTAGTGTAGATGAAATGAGGATGTTGAGATGTATAAGTGGTAAGATAAGAAAGAATAGAATTCATGATAAATACATTCGAGCGAACTTAGGGGTGGCTCTAATAGGCGATAAAATGATGGGAAGTTGACTTTGGTGGTCTAGTCAAGTGTAGCGTCGACCTAAAACAACACTAGTTAGGAGGGGTGATTTCGTTCAAGTAGAAGGCTTTAAAAGGGTAAGGGGAAGGACCCAAAGAACATAGATGGAAGTAGTGAGAAAAGATATAATGGCTTATAGTCTAATTGAGGGTATCGCCCTTGATAGAGCAGAATGGCGCAACAAGATTCGTGTAGCGGACAAATAGTTGGAATAAAGCTCGTATGATGATGATATATGGATTGTGAGAGAGCATATGGGCCCGTGTGTGAGAGTGGTTTCACATTGAACTCTTGGAGGACATGTTCATCTTTTTCTTCTTCTCATGTCTAGAGAGGTAGAATATGAGTCTGTGAGAGAGGGGGAGCCTTGTATCGTACACTTCGGGGTAAACTTCTTCTTTTTCTTCTTCTTATATGTAGGGAGATTATATGGGTCCATTTGTGTGTTTGTGCTTGAGAGAGAGAGAGAGAGAGAGAGAGAGAGAGAGAGAGAGAGAGACTTGGAGCCATATTATTTTTGTTCTTTTTCTTTTTATATATTGAGAGATAGCACATGGGCTTATGTGCAAGAGTAGGGCCTTAACCATTTTTAAATGCTTTAACTATTTTTTTTTAAGGAGGTTTACATTTTGTTTTGTTTTTAAGGGGTAGCGTTAGGCACAAGGGGTTTTTGGGGTTAGAGTGCCCCTCCACTCCTACCCCCCCCCCCCC